TCCACACATCTTAAAGTTAACTCCACACATCTTAAAGTTACTGACTGGCTGGGGAATTCTGGGAATCCTGGCTGGGGAATTCTGGGAGTTGAAGTCCACACATCTTAAAGTTAACTCCACACATCTTAAAGTTACTGACTGGCTGGGGAATTCTGGGAATCCTGGCTGGGGAATTCTGGGAGTTGAAGTCCACACATCTTAAAGTTAAGTCCACACATCTTAAAGTTACTGACTGGCTGGGGAATTCTGGGAATCCTGGCTGGGGAATTCTGGGAGTTGAAGTCCACACATCTTAAAGTTGCTGAGGTTGAAAAACACTGATCTAGAAGGCTACCATTTCCCTACCCTGATCAGACTCCACGTGTCCTTCCTCCCAGTGCCCCGTCCTAATTTGAAGGAGTTGACAAGAACAGAGTTTGTCATGGCTGCTTTCACAGATTTCCTAGTTTTCCCACCAGCTTCTCCATGAGCGAACATTAACCCTGGTAGACATTTTTCCTCCCCGCTATTGCAACAGGAGCATAAAGGGTGTTGGGCCGCACGTTGTCTGAATCGGATTCCCTTTGCGTCTTTGTGCGTGCGTAGCCGGGGAAGCGAGCAGCTGCTTCTGAAAAGGCTAGCAAGCCCCCCTCAACCAAGGCTACCCCTTCTGACCTCCCCTTTTCTCCCTGACAGATTTGGCAAAATGATGTGTGTTTTTCTCTTCGGAGCATTCCCTCCTCCTGGGGGAACCGAGATGGTGTCGGCAGAACCCTTTCAGGTAGCAGACGGTGTTGGGGGAACTGGAATCAAATAAAGCCTGCCAGGGGAGGGAGGGAGGGGAGCAGTCACCCCAATTTTTTTCTGCCCTCCTCGCAGGCACCGCCGTTCTCGTTTGAAGAGGTGGCCGTGTACTTCACGGAGGAAGAGTGGACCCTGCTGGACGCAGAGCAGAGAGACCTGTACTGGGATGTCATGCAAGAGAACTACGAGAATGTGGCTTCCCTGGGTAAGAATCCCCCATCCCTTGCTCGCCCACGTTGAACTGCAAACGGGAGCGCACACGCACGTTTATTACAGCCCTAAGGCCAGATACAATCAAAGTATACAATAACAACCATCTTACATTTATATATATCCGTAAAACAAAGCAATTAATATGATTTAATCTAGTAATTAAAATAACAGTGCTAAAATATATCAAAGTAAGATACTGTGTTGTGGAATTTTAACTCTAAATAATGGTGGAGTGTATGGTACAGAGGGTGGCACAAAACCAGGCAACTTGGGAGGATATTTCCGGGTCTTTGTCCGAAAGGAGTAACATTAGATGGGAGTCACACTCCCTGCCAGGAAATCTCTTCAATATCGGGTATATATATATAGGACATATAAATATATGTCTCGAATCCTTATATAGGGAGCAATATAATAGCATATGGCTTAGTGTTTCTATTGAGCCACCTCCCCATGGACATAATCGAAGGTGCATAGGAATGCCCTTAAAAAGTCCAAAAAGGACTGCTGAGGGCAATGCGTCCATTCTAGCTAGGGTGAAAGCTTTACAAAATTTCAGAATTGTAATAGATGTTAAATAAGCTGGAATGAACCCTTGTGGTAGAAACTGACAAATATTGGGGTGCAGCACCTTACTTAAATTTGTTGGTAAATCTGTATCCCAGATACGTTG